CCCCAAAACCCCAAAACCCCAAAACCCCTTTAGTTTAAGGTTTCATTGAATCTTGAACTCTGCAGAGGATCGAAAATTTTAAAGGAACAAGCTTAATTTTAACTAAATTATTACATCCAGCGATCCTCTGGTGTTCTTGTTTCAATTTTTCATATTAGCCATTTGAAATTTAGACAGCTGTTTGATGAATTTGAGACTGGTCTTGAAGTAAAATATTTCTTCACTAAGAATTATACTTAGAATTATTGTAATAAATTACGCTGGAATCTAAAAACTGCTAAATTGAAATTACGGTCAAATTTTGAATGATTACGTTATATTTTAATGTATTCGGCATATTAATTCGAATCAATTCTGAATTTTCTTCTTCACAAAGAATAAAGCTGCCCTTGCAGAGCAGGAGAATTTTTAGCTCATGAAATGATAAGAATTAAAGGGGCTTTGATTTAGTGCTATTTTAGCCTTCCCTACATATAAAACCTGTCGAAGGTGGGGGTTAAGCTTGCTTAATATGGGAAATAATGAATGGATAACTTTTTATTCTGGAAATAAGCTTTTTAAAGATTTTTTAACCGTTTGAAGCATATTTTTGTTACTAATTTTTCGAATTATATTGATTTGAGAACTAAAAATTTGATGGCTAGTGTTTCTATAACTTGTATCCAATATTTTATCTCATTTTTAAAGAAAATTTCACTCAAAGTTGCAATACTGTGCACAATTATTTTACAAATCCTCAAAGTAAGCCTGCCTGGGCTCAACTCAGGCATGAAGGTAAGAATTCTTGGCTAAGAATAGCTGTCCTTAACTCAGACATGTAAATTTATGGAGACAAAGAAGGATGATCCCAGAAAACTTGAAGAAATTTGAGGTATAGATCACAATTTCTGACAGAAATTATAACTTGGTCAAATTCTACCTCAACATCTGATTAGATAAATTCTCGATCTCGATATAGCTAGGACGAGCTGTTGGTGCATAAGGCTCAGTCATATAAAGAGATGCAGAAGGAGCTTCATATCTTTCCTCAAGATCAGCTATAATCTTTCCTCTTTCTTCTTGAATTCCCAAAACAATCGAATCTTGGAGGACTAAAATGAGCTTACTCATAATTCTGGATGTAATTTTGTCCCTTGTTTTCTAAATCATCAATATGATTCATGAATGAAATAAGGTAGAAATTGTGAGAAAGATAAAGGCTAAGAATAGCAAGCATCCGCTATTGGCAGCCCCTTCTTCGCCCAAGGATTGACTCCATCTACATGCCTATAGAATATATGAGTCTCAAAGTTTGAATTGTTTTAAAAGACTTCCCATTGAGCGAACATCGAGAGGATCACTAGAAATGTAGCAATAACTTCAAATAATGCATAAGATATCAGAGTAAATTTGGTCATGAGACTTCTTGAAATCTTCAGTTCTGGGTTATACACATACAGAATGCCGAAACCCATGAAAATGTAGCCTGTCAAGATCTGAGTTATCATAAATACTTCAGATCGAATATGAATGCATCCCTATAAGGTTAGCCTTGGCCTACAGAAGCACATACAGTGACAAGAAAGAGGACAGACATGTTTAATGCTGTAGCTCCTCTTCAGAACATACAGTCAAGATTGAATTTTGATGAATGATGTTTGCTCTGATAGATATTTAATTGTATTCAGAACACTCAGCTTTAGAGCACCATGAGGAGAAATTTGATGATCAAAGATAGTACAGTCAATGATTTCAGTAGACATCTGGGAGCGAATTCGGCAAAACTGATTGTGGTTTTAATTTCAATATTGTATCTTATTAGGGGTTTTGGGGTTTTGGGGTTTTGGGGTTTTGGGGTTTTGGGG